GGCCCCCGGGCGCCCGGGCCCGGCGGCCTCCACCCCTGGGAGGCGGCGGAAGGGCGCAGGGTTCTCATCGCTGGGGCCTTTGTTGGGTCCTTGGGTTCAGCGACTGCTCGCTCTGCGGGTAAGTTCCACATCCAGTGGTCTCCAGTCCGTTTTATTTTTGAGCCTCCTTAAAAGATCGAAGAGCCCGCGCGCGGTGTCCTGTGTCTCGTCACCGCGTCTGCAGAGCGCCCAGAGGAAACCCGCCTTATTCCGGGTTAGAATGCAGAAAGCTGGCCATGCCGTCATAATTCCAGTTTGACACGACATAGGACGTTAAAAAGCACGTTTTTCTTTTTTTTTTTTTTATCACATTTTTTTCCTTGCCAAATTTCATAGATCAAATTTAAGGTAAATCTCGGGCTCCATTTATTAAGTTGGATAAGTTGTGCGGTGGACATCCGAAGTGGTGTCTGCCACAGGACTTTTTCGTGGTGTTGTCCAAAGCAGAATACTTGTTGCTTTCTCAGGATGTGGTTAAGTCATGGTTATGAAGAGGGCCAACTCCTAAGAAACACGTAGACTTTCCCTTTTGTTTTGCAGAAATGTCAGTTGCATCACAGTATATGAATATGAGTTTACTCATTAATTTCTTTCTTGGGAAAGTCCTTAATGCATTCTTTGGAACTAGGAAAAATACCACTTAACCAATGATTACATAAATTATAAATGGTGAACGTCCCCTACCCTCTGGAGGTTGACAGATGACGACATGTTTTGTATAAATGTTTTTCTCAGAAAAAGGTTAAGGTACAGGGTTTTGTTGTTAGTGGTGGTGGTGGTGATGATGGTGGTAATATTTGTGTTTTAAGTGAACAAGTAGGAAATACCCTAAGATTTTTCAGAAATCTTGTGTGCTTCAGACAGAATTATTATGCATGAGACATCAGACATTGCTATGGAGGGCAAGTCTGTCAGGTTGATCTTAGTTAAACTGGGTACTAAAAATAACAGAACTGAAAAACTAAACATTGATAAATATTAATGTGAAAAGATCACAATAATAGCGACATATACCTTGGACAGACCTCGCTCTTTAGTAATGAAAACTGGTATGTGAAAGTCAGCGGCTGACGTTATTGATTAATTTTAGAAAAGTCTTTAATGTTTCTTCTTATCAAATCTTCTTGCTGGTCACGGTTACTGTACATAGCAGATCATGTGTTACGGAAAACCTGCTTGAGTTTGATCCAGGTGCAGTTATTCAGCAAACCTTCATTAAGCACCTTTTCAATGTTAACACCGGAAGTGATTCCTGCCCTCACGTAATTCACGGTTCAGTGGGAGCAGCACAGAGCAATAAGCAATATAAGAAGTCTTTCGTGAGTGGCGTGCCGTGAGGACACTCAGGCGGGCATCACCCCAGACCGAGTTCAGGCCACTGGAGAGAGGAATGCTTCAGCTGAGCAGGCGGTGTAGACAGAGTCACGGATGAGCCAGGAAAGACAGTTCGGTATGGTGGGAGGTAGCCGTGTATAAGAGATGGTGGCAGTTGAGGCAGGACAGCCAGCCAGAGGCACTAACTCGCAAAGGACCTTGCTTGTCCTCCGTCAGGCCGGATTTTCTCCTAAAGGTCGTGGGCAGCCTGTGGCGGACCTCTCTGTGTCCTGAGATGTGAAGGGTGAGGTTCGAGTGCCGCGAGGCCGAGCAGACCGGGACAATGGTGGAAACCTGGAGGCCTGCCTGAAGGCGGCGCGACAGACGGGACACACTCACGAACCAGTTAGGAAGTGAATTTGCCGGGCCTGGAAGGTGATTCGATGTGGGCGTGAAGGAGGGGCTGTGCAAGCCCAGCCGAAGGTGTTGGGACTGGGGAGCTGGGCCTATTTTTGGAGGAAGAACATGGGCTGAGGGATTAGGAGTGTTGGGGGAAGAAGGCGAAGTTGCTTTTGGTTTAAGGTGCCGCTGGGACATCCCAACAGCAGTGGGCAGAGGACAGCTGGGTAGGTGGGTGTGGAGGAGAGGCGACATTCTGGTTAGAAGTGCAGATTGGGGAGGCTCTATGTGGCCGATAGGTAAAACAATGGTTTGCTTGGATAAGGTCACCAAGCAAAGCGTGTCGGGAGGGTAAGGAGCCTGCGAAGGAAGCCTGTTGAGTAAGGGAAGAGCCAGAAGAGGGTGGTGTCTTGGAAACCATGTGAGAATGAAGTTTTAGGGAAGAGGACGTGGCTAGTGGTATCACATGAAGCGAGACTGAGCATGAGGAGTCCCTGACTTGGCAGTCGGCACGTCCGTGGTAACCGGCCGGTGGGCACAGATGCAGGGTGAGAACAAATCTCAGTCGTTCGCTCCACCCGCGTCAGTGAAAGGCCCCCCGGAAACCCAGGACCACGCTCGGTTCCGCCCTGTCCTCCACCCCACGGCCCGCCGGTGCTCCCGGCTCCAGAAGGCGTCCGGAACGCACCTGCCTTTTTTCTGTCGATGATCCACTCCTAGCCTTTCCCTCGAACACTCTGGCGCTTCTTCCTTATTTTCTCTGACAGCGTCCCAGCTGGCCTGCTGGTTCCCTACCTTGCCTCTTTGTAATCCATTCTTCACACAGCTGCAAGAATGGTTTTCTTAAAACGCAAGTCAGACTGTGTCGCTTTCTTGTTTAATGGTCCCCCGCTGCACTGGGGCTGACACCCCAGCTCCTTTTATCATGTTCGTTGTAGCACCTAAGTGTTTTATCAGGACTTTTCAATGTTTTGATGCTCGTTGACCAAATTTAGACTTGAGTCACCACCCCTGTATTTGGAAGGCCACAGATCTCATTACCTATCCCTTAGCCTTTTACTTAGTTACTAGTTGGGATAATAAAACAAAAACTTAGATTAAAAAAAAAAATTCTACCACTTGTTTTTACCCTATCTCCAGGATATTCACTAGGCTCAAATGCTGCCAGAGAAGAAAGACACAAATGTTTACGTGAAGGAATATATATGCGGAAAGCATATAAAAATGAAGATTTGTCTTTTCACCAAGTCTTTACTTGGGTTAGCCAAATAAACAGCTCCTGGGTGCCAGGAGGCTTGATTCTGGTGTGAGGTGTGAGGTGTGAGGTAGGATGCATACCCAGAGGACAGATGAAATGCCTGGCAGCCATCATTTTTAAGAAAATATGATTCAGTTATTATGAAAATTTGCAGTCATTAAAAAAATGGAGAATACTTATTGCATGACAAAATAGAGATTTCTTAAACTTACAAAGGCTGCATTGTGGGATTTCATTCATGGTTGCTTTCCTGCT